AAAGCTCCCAAAAAAAAAAAAAAAAAGAAAAAGAAAAAAAAAAAAAAAAGACGCACATGAAGCATCTTCAGACTCAGAACTCACAGCCTTTCATCCCCTAACACTTCTTAACTGGTTATGTATTTTTCCATCCCATTAACAAATGTGTTTTCTTTGCTCTTCTTATCCTTTGATTTCCCTTCACTCTAAAACAGTGTTTTTCCTTTTTTTTCCATTTATTTTGTACGTCCAATCCCTATACATCATTTAACTTGTAAAGTGAATGACCCAACATGCATACACATCACACCAGTCCAGTTGAGGATACCATGCGTTATCATCAACAGATAATAATCCATACCTGTGTCCCATACATTTCTTTCCTATTTTTCTCCTTAATTTCTTTTCTCATACTCTTCCCCTTCTCCCTGCTTTTCAGTCTGTGAGTGCAGAAGTTATTCTATGGGCTTCTTGCATCCATCTGGGCACAAAGCCCTGTTTACATATGAAACCAATAATATGTCTTACATATATAAAACCTCTTGGAATATCAACTGTTCTACTAGAAAGTAAGCCCTTTGAGGAATTTCTTATCTCATCAGTTGTGATAACATAGAGTTGTGCTGCCCAGTGCAGTAACCACTAGTGACATGTAGCTATTGAAATTTAAGCTAATTAAAATTAAAAATTGAGTTCCACAGTGGTACCAGACTTCTCAAGTGTTCAATAGCTGTTAAGTAGCTATTGGCTGCCATGTTGTGTAAGACAGTATAGCACCAAGAACTTGCTTGACCTAAGTTATCATTACCAACTACTAAATTATACAGGAAAAGTTTCCAATTAGACTTTAAAGTAAATTGCTATTTCTACAGCAAATCATTAAAACAGAGTAATTTGTATGTCCACAGTCAATGCAAGGCAAGTCTTCCCCTACAGGTAACACATAAAAGGTAGGGAAGAGGCTGATTGAACAGTTTTGCTTCAAGGCCTAGAATTTTATTTTATGAACCTGGGTTATGCATATATATTTTGATCTGTAATTGAACTTATATAAATGCAGAAAACAATAGAATTAGGCCATGGATTTTTCTTTTACTTAAAACTTCAACTTACATGTTGTTCTTAACCAGAAAAAAAGTACAAAAAAAAAGGCTTAAAGCATTCAAAAATACCTTTAAAATCTAATTATAGCTTTATTAATCAAAGTAGAATCTAAATCAGTAGAATCTAAATCTAAGAAACAATTGCTCCTTTCTCTGAATGCAATTTATTTATTTATTGGACATAGGAATTATATATGTGTGGGGGGGTGTTTGTGTGTATATGTTATCATCAACAGATAATAATACATATCTGTTCCCATAAATTTCTTCCTTATTTTTCTCCTTAATTTCTTTCTGCACACACACACACACACACACACACTTTTTTCTCCTTAATCTCTTTTCGTACACACACACACATATATACAGTTTGTGTATGTGCGTGTGTGTGTGAGAGAGAGACAGACCAGAGGGCATGTGTGCTCTCCAGAGAGATAGACAGAGAGGAAAAGGTAGAAAGCACTCCCTCAATAAGACATGGTCACACCACAATCCCTTCTCCTCCTACATTTCCCCTTCCTGTCAGGATTTGAGGCATGCATCTGTATGTGCCTGGTGAGTGTTTTAAGCCACCAAGGCCAGCCACGTGGGATCGAGTTTCCTTAACCACCAGGCCATGGGGCTGGTCCTCATTCTTACTGTATTGTTTAGAATTCAGAACATTAAATCTTCACTATATATTATAGAAATTTTTTTTGAGGGATGTGCTAGTTTGTAGAGAAAGCTTCATAAGCTTCATTTGATAATCCATTTATTTTCTTTTTAAATATTTTTTATTTCAATTTATTTTATACATTCAGTCACATATGTCACTTAGCTTGTTGCTGAATACACATGGCATGAAGACCAAAGGACTTTTTTTTTTAAATGCCAGAGGGTGCATGAAAGAGAGGGGAAGAAAGCACCACCCACAAAAAAGTGTAGTCATACTACAATCCTTCTCCTCCATTCTTCATCCCACTAGGATCCTGAGCACAGTCACTACCCAGCATGCTTTTCAAGCTGCTAGGGCTAAGACTCATACTCTGGTAAGCCATGTGGAATACAGCCTCTTCAGCACAGTGCTTAACCACTGCACCTACAAGGACAGCTTCTATTCCATTTGTTTGAAACCAGAAACACTATCTTCCTAAAAGAGCAATCAAGATCCCCAAATTGCCTTGTCATTCGTTTGGCAAGAAAACTAAATTAACCTGCATTCCAGGGTTTTAGAAAAAAGTTTAAAACCCTAGCAGTGTACAACAAATTTAGTGTCAATACCTTTGCATGATTCATTTAAATTAACTTTTCATTTCAAGTGGAGCAGTCTGGAAAAAGAAATCAGCTCTCAGTAACATTTTGAATACCTGCCCACATGTCAACTTTTATTAATAATGCCTAAGCCTTGTGAAGTGGTTTTAGTTTGCCAAGTGCTTCTAATACATTATATCACTTGATCCTCAGGATGAAGCCTAGGAGGAGCTAGGACTAAAATCCCTGCTGTCTGAATCCAAAACTAGTACTTCTCTCAAAAAGCAGCAGTTGCACCCTTGTATATACATTACTAAGTTTTGGAAGTAGCACTTAGAGGTTCTTCCGAAGTTCCACATAGAGGTTTCATTCTGGAGAAGTTGGACCAGGTCAGAGTGAAGCCAGGTTGCTTTACTAGAAGTAGAAACAGGAGAATTAAGTGAAATTTTGTGAAATAAATGCTGATAGACAGCATTAATTTTCCTAAAGAAAGAGATTTGAAGCTGCTGCTTAGAAGAAGCTAACTGATACAAAAGAAATAATATATATATAAAATATAAATTATATATAATTAATATAATCATATAATATAATATAATCATTATATATAACATAATATAGATTTTACATATATTATATTATATT